CCCTCTATCAATTTTGGACAAGAACAACAAATTTTCAGCTGAATTTATTATTTATTTTGTATCATTTTAGGGTTAGGTTAGGTTAAGACATTTTTGTGGGTCGAGCGCTGCACCTAGGACAGGCTAGGGGACCGATCTCTGTGGCTAGGAAAGGCAAGGGGGCCGGGCGCTGCGGACATATGACCAATTATACTCATGTGTTGCGTATGAGATGCATGTACAAGATTGATAAAGGGTGGGGGTCCAACAATTCTACAATAGGAAATTACCGGTTGAGCCACCTCATATTTTAGAGTTTACTTTTTAAATACTTTCACTCATGTGATCTAAAAATCAACCTTAATAGAGCCCAACAGCCCTTAATCTTAATGCTCATTATTAGGTTTGATCTACGACGCGAAGCGCAGGATGATGGTGGTTATGATTCGACCAATGAGGAGGACGAGTATTCAAAAGCAAGGTAAGAATTCTTAAGGTCGTCAATTTTATAATATAATTGTGAATGGGGGGATTTAAAATTAAATATGGTTTTTAAAAATTGGTTGTGTAATAATTTACATAAAAATATTAAATTTCACAAAACTTTTTTGCAAATTGTATTAAGTGGAAATTTTTTGTTTGTTAGTTTTACAGGGTAAAATATGTCTACATGAAGAATAACTTGACCATTTTAGAGTTAAAAAGTGATGCGCTTTTACAGGTCTCGTGTATTTATTTTTTATTGATATAAAATAAATATATAATCATTTGTTTTAATCTTGATTATGTTTCAGTAAGAAGGCCAGATATGATCTTACTTCAAAAGGAAAAAGAGATCCTCGTAGGAAGGCCAAGGTAAGAGCTGAGTATCCTTGGAATGCATAAAAATAAAAGATTCCCTCCCATTGGCTCAAAGAGTAAGATGAAAATATATTTCGAAAAGTCTATTTTAATTAAGGTTTTTATTCATAATTATTTTCAGGGCAGTAAGGAAGTTCTACGTGTAGAAGCAAGTTTAGAGGAGGGAAGGAAGCAACGACAAGATATAATTACTCTTACAGGGAATATTATTAACCACAATATCATCAAATTCTTTTCTTGTATTTATGCTTGTAAAAACCACCTTGATTCCTTAGAAGATTGAAATTAAAATAGGGAATCCCACAATTCGAAATATGAATTTTTTTAAAATCCTGAAATCGTATGTTTTTCAGGGAAGTACATCTAAATACCACGATACCATACCAGCACAATAAAAGTGTACTGGGTTTTGGACCAACACAAAGAAAATTAAGGCTTGAAACTTGTTTACATAATTCCCAGTAACTGCAGAACTCTTCTGTTGTAAACAAAGAGATGGGGGGGGGGGGGTTCTTGTTTTTTTCAATGTTATCAATAGTCAAACAATATTCAAATAAACATTGCTTGTCCTATTTGTTTGTAATTGATAATATTTTAAGCCTTTGACAGACACAAGCAATTAGTTAATACATATCAGGTTAGTTCAATATTAATACCTGGCTTTATCCATTTTTACAGAATTGAATTGAACTGAAAAGCCAAAAAAGGGCAAACATTTTTTTAGGATTTTAACCGCTGAATGGAAAATAATAAATGAATTATTGGGGTTTTAATGTAATTTTTATCATATTCTTATCCTGGGACCAAATGAATTTGATTTGACCAACTGCCGATTTATGTTTGAAAATCGATTTAAATATTAGGTTATTTTTACTTTGAAGCAGTGGTTCAAATTTTAAGCTCAAATTCATTAAATTCGGTCTCTATAATTAATCTGCCGTACATATAATGTTAAGTATAGAAGGTGATTAACATGATAGATTATAGAAAACAAGTCATGCAATTTGTTCTAAATAATATTTTATTTTACTATTTTTTCTCTCGTGGTCTATTTGCATATAATAAATCATTTCTTTTTCTTTTCTGTAACATTTCCCTTTAACATTCGGTTCCTGGTCAACTATTGTTGTTTAGTTGTACTACAAGGGTGCCACGGATACACTACAAAGAGATACTTCTCGAGATAAACGAGATGCAGACGTTATTAAGGAACATCACCGGTAAGAGATGTTTTAAGTAGATTAGTTAGGAGATTAAAACTTTTGGATGGGATAGCGTTCAGCCCACATAGAATTAGCCTTATGAATAGAATTTAAATATATAAATCTTGACTTCTTGTACTTCTAAGAACAGAGAAGAGAGTTGTTATGTTCAGTATAAGTCATTGAACTGTTCGGGTTCCTTTAGAAGTAAGCATATATAGTTATATTCAGTATCAGACAATCTACTGTTCAGGTTTCTATGGGAGGAAGGAGATAGTGTAGTTAAATGTGTTCAGGTTTCTATGGGAGGAAGGAGATAGTGTAGTTAAATGTTCAGTAATAGACAATCTAATGTTCAGTTTTCTATGGGAAGAAGGAGATAGTATAGTTATGTTCAGTAACAGACAATCTAATGTTCAGTTTTTTATGGGTGGAAAAAGATAGTATAGTTAAATGTTCAGTAATAGACAATCTTCTGTTCAGGTTTCTATGGGGGGATATAGATAGTATAGTTATGTTCAGTAATAGACAATCTACTGTTCAGTTTTCTATGGGAGGATAGAGATAGTATAGTTATGTTCAGTATCAGACAGTCTACTGTTCAGTTTTCTATGGAAGGATATAGATAGATAGTATAGTTATGTTCAGTATCAGACAGTCTACTGTTCAGTTTTCTATGGAAGGATAGAGATAGTATAGTTATATTCATTATCAGACAATCTACTGTTCATGTTTCTATGGAAGGATAGAGATAGTATAGTTATGTTCAGTATCAGACAGTCTACTGTTCAGGTTTCTATGGAAGGATAGAGATAGTATAGTTATATTCCTTATCAGAAAATCTTCTGTTCAGGTTTCTATGGAAGGAAGGAGATGGAGAAGATAGTTGGGAGGTTCAGCTTGCTCGAAGATATTATGACAAGCTGTTCAAAGAATACTGTATTATTGATTTATCAAGGTATTTAACAACGTTTACAATTATCCAAGTTAATCCCCCCCCCCCCTTTAAATGTCTCCGAATAGAAGAGAAAATAAATACATGAGCATAGCTATCATTAGCTAAAATGTCTACTAGCTAGAATGAAATGAGATTGTCCTCTCTATGACTGAAGGGTTCTGGGACCAGACTTCAAGAATAGCAAAAATGATCTAAACTGTGCAGATGTACAGTCGTCGTCGTATATATCAATACAATAAAGGCGACCTTCGATCTCAATTTTGATTTTTTCCAAGTTTTTAAACAGCATAGAAACACGAACATCAAACATGAAACAAAGAGAAGTAATCAATAAACAGTTTCTCTTGTAAACTTGTGATGTGAAAAAATCCTGTAATAATCCATAACTTTTCCCCTTCCCTTCCCCCTTCCTTTTTCATGATTTTTTCTCCCAAACCCAATGAAAGCTCATAACAGAAAAATGTACACCCCTGAAATAAAGTAGTATCTAAAGCAAGTAACTGATCAGATTTAATGAATAACGAATTATGGTTGAAGCATGTTGACGTGATTCGGCCACTTCTCCTCAGCTTGGTAAGGTGTACATATTTACTGGTTCTGCTATTTCTCGCTTTTCATCAAATCGGTTTCAGCTTTTTAATAATTCTTAAGTAGGATTTATCTGGTCGATAATAGTCATTTTAGCTAAAAGACATATTTTAATCTTTTCACGGTAGATTAATTACTATTTTCCTTCAATATTGGATATCGCAGTGTCTTTATATCAATAGACTTATACAATGTAGATTGCAGGGTTGCAATCTAACCACCCTCCGCCCCTCCCCATCCTCCCCATTTATATATGTACAATGTACATTGTACAGTTGTATACAATATAAGCGTAAAATTTAAATATAAAAAAATGGAGTATTGTAATAGTAAAAAAAACTTCCTATTGAATAAACCTCTCTCATTTGACCGTGGCGTGGGG